TTCGTGGGCAAGGATTCTTAGAGTAGTTTCTATAATATTAAGGGCTGTTTCCGTTATGAAAAAAAAACCTTATAGTTCGAATTTTCTAACAGCTCAGGATTTAGAGAATTCTTCGGATTTAATTGTTAAATATGTGCAGAAAAAGTCTTTTCCTGAGGAAATAAAGGCTTTAAATTCTTCAAAAACTGTAGCTCCATCATCCAAGTTGTTTCCACTTACACCATTTTTGGATAAAAAGGGTATTTTAAGACTTGGTGGTAGGTTAGGAAAGTCGCATCCAATAATGCCAGCTATTCTTCCTCCTGGAGAACTTTCTTGCATTATTATAAGACAATTTCATAAGAATCTAATTCATTCTGGTGTTAAACTTACTTTATACATGGTTCGATGTAAATTTTGGATTATTAATGCACGTTCTATTACTAAAACTATAATTAAGAATTGTACCACATGTGTAAAGCACAATGCAAAAACTATGTGTCAATTAATGGGGGATCTGCCACAATCTAGGGTGGAGCCTTCCCGTATTTTCTCACATACTGGACTAGACTATGCTGGTCCATTTTCCATACTTAATGGTATTGGTCGTGGTACTAAATCCCATAAAGTATGGGTTGTTGTGTTTGTTTGCTTTTCAGTTAAAGCAGTTTATATAGATTATGTAAACGATTGTTCTACTAAAGCTTTTATAAATGTATTTAGAAGATTTTCTAATCAATTTGGAATGCCAAGTGATCTTTATAGCGATAATGCTACTACTTTCAAGGGAGCAGATCGAGAGTTAAGATCATATTTAACTCAGTTACAATCTGACCCTGAACTCCATAATAGTTTTGCTCAAGATCGAATAACTTGGCACTTTCTGCCTCCTTCTGCTCCTCACTTCGGAGGTTTATGGGAAGCTGGAGTAAAAAGTGTAAAAAAATATCTTAAACCTCAACTTGCAAATGTTACACCTAGTGCAGACGAATTTCGGACTTTATTAAGTGAAATTCAAGGTCTTTTAAATTCTCGGCCTATAGCTCCTTTATATGATGACAAAGAAAGTTATGATGCTCTTACACCAGGACACTTTTTGGTAGGATGTGCTCTTAAGTCGATTCCCACTCCTTCTGTATTAGATTTAACTGATAACAGACTTACTCGCTGGCAATTTTATCATAAGGTTGTGGAAAACTTTTGGCGTAAATGGCAAAGAGAATATCTTTTCGAATTGCAAACGCGTTCAAAGTGGTTTAGTACTCAACCTAATTTAATGAAAGGCGATCTTGTTTTAGTAAGAAATGAACATCTGCCTCCAAATAAGTGGGAATTGGGTCGTATTATCAGTACTCATCCTGGTGATGATGGGTTGGTTCGCGCTGTTACTATTAAAACTGCAAATTCAGAGTTTCAGCGTCCAATTGTTAAATTAGTTAAGTTACCTATTAATAATATTAAATAAAATTTTACTTGTACTGATTAATCTTATTCTAAATACTAGCCCTGTTATTGCTGAGCGTTCTTGTTTATCTTTTGTATTAATTGACTTCGCAATTGCGGGGGAGTATGTTCGAGATTGAGTTACTGAAGTAGTATATATGCTTATTAAATAAATATATGTAATCTCTATGGAACCCTGTTCCTAGGGAACCATTATTTAATATTATATAATTATACATATAAAAAACATATACACGATTTTGGTTCTGTACCTTACAAGAAATAAAACTGTTATAAAAAGAACATAATACTATTTCCTAAAACTCCAAGACATTCATTTTGCTGCTCTAAAACAACAATAAAGCAGAGAAAAAATAAGTTATGTCAAGTTGAACTTCGTTTAAACTGCCAACAGTGACAGTTCATCTTTTGATTTAGTTTAAACCAAATTCAAGCTTGAACTTTGATTGAAAAACGGCATATTTTGTTTGAACCAAGTTCAAATGCTGAACCAAGTTTAAACTATAATTGAAAAACCTTCCCTTAAACATTTAACCATAAACAAAATCGGAAACCGCCCCGCGGAAGTCACTTTTAATACACTTTTAATATTCTAAACATAAACTCGATCACGATATAGGCAGCGGAAGTCAAAAGGCAAAAAAAAAAGAAAAAAACCGACCCTGTTCTACATGGCTGTTTGCTCGTATAACATCAATCTTGAAAAACTTCGACCATCTCTTGTGAAAATCTTTTGGAACTTCACCAATCTAAGGTGTTCCAAAGACCCCTGTCACTTTGGCGGACAATACGGTTTATAATCTTCCTTACAATTTTAAATTTTAAATTTTTATCCAATTGTCCTACGCAGTGTTGAACTTTAAACTGGTATACCAACAATATATTGCTGTAGCTTCTCTATCCATCTGGCTACTTGACCTTCAGGTAACGTCATCTTCATTAATTTTAAAGCAACAAGGTCAGTCCTTTTTAAAAATTCTCTTTCGTACAGATATTTATGAAAATAATCTACTTCCTTTACTATAGCCAAGAGTTCTTTCCGGGTAAAATAATAATTCCTCTTCGGTTTTGAAGTATTTGACTAAAGTATTTAATAACACAATCCTTACAATTCTGGATTTTTAATAAAATGGCAACAACTCCCTTACCTACTGCTTGCATCCGTATCCAATATAAAATTTCCATCTCTTTCCGGATATCCTAACACTAAACCGGAACAAAGTTTCTTGAAACATGTTTATCCTTTCGTAAGTTTATGTAATGGTGCAGCAATGTAAGAAAATGTATAGACCAAGGAAACTTCTGAGTTGCGTCTTATCGTTTCCCGGTCAGGTTAAATTTCCTTAGCAGAAACAATATGTCCTTCGAATTTAGTTTGGAATTTGCATTCTTAATTCTTGTAAAAACTTTTTCAGGATTCTCATATGCTCTTCAAACGTCCTGATAAATTAAGCTATCTTTACAAGTAAGGCCTTTAAGCACAGTTTCCATGAGTTGTTTAAATGTTGCTGGCGCATTACAGAGTCCAAAAGGCATAACCGTAAAATGAAGTCAACATCCAGTAGAAAAGGCTGCCTTCTCTTTGTCTTTATCATGTAGAGCAACCTGCCAATGACCACTCTTAAGGTCCCATGTATAAAACCATTTTGAAACTGACAAAGCCAAGTCGTCTATTCTTTATTTTTACATCATTTAATCTTCTATAGTCAACAAAAAATCTAAACTTTCACATTTCTTGGTTACTAAAATATCTGGTGCTGACCAGGGGCTTGTTTATGGTTCTATGCATATATTATATTATCCTTTAGCATGTGTTCTATTAGCCTCCTTCAGCTTGTTTGACCAATGGCAATCATATTTCGGTGCTTGATGATTTTTTTCCATGTAGTTTTCTTGCTGTGAATATAAAAAAATGTCACTATCATTCATAATACATTTTCTTGCCCTTTCTTAAATTGAGTACTGGTTGGAAAAATATTTGATACTCTAATTGGGATTTCATTTTTTACGTTGATTATTAATATTGTGACTCATGTGATTCATTTGCATGTATGAATCAGACGCAGCCCTCAAAACTTTCTATGAGGCATTTTAAAATGTTTGGACCTTTCAAGAATTTTTACAGTTTCTTTGGTTAAAACTTGCAGAGATGTTGCAGTTGTTACCCCAGGATGTCAAAGGACAAATTTTAAAATTTCTGATCGGGGGTCAAACCTAACCTATATATTTCTACTATTCAAGTTTTGAATCACACATTAGATATGATATCTTATGTTGGGGCTATTCAACATAGGTAGGTAGAGTTTTTAAAATGCGATTTGATGTATGTTTAATTATCATCTGAATGAAAAGTTGGACCACTAGAAAGAGTTTGTAACTGTGTAAAAGAGTTCTTATTAAAAAAATGCTTTTTATTATATTGGAGAATTTTAAATGTATGATTTTTAATATCTATTTTATCAATTTATTATTTTAATCAATGCATTTTGTTAGTGTTTGTGTTATTTTTATTTTTATTATTTGTGTTTATTTATTATTTGTTTATGCTTTTTATTACTACTATTATTTAATACCTGCATGATACAGGCTGTATTTATATTTAATACTTTTGTGAAAATATTGTTGACTTGTCCTATACTCTGTTTTGTAGTCAAAAGGACTAATAAATTTATTATTAATATGATTATTATTATTATTATTGAAGATTGTAGTTAAAACAACATTTTACAAGTTTATAGGTATATTAAATTACGAAAACATAAATATGTACCTACTAAAATTAGTTGCCTATATTTTATGCTTAGTATTTATTGGTGTTTAGTTTGCATATATTTTTACTACACTGTTATATTTAGCGTTAATAAATATTAAATTAGGTTTCTAATTGTATTTTGATTTATTTAAATATATTTATATTTGCATGCAAAAAATGTATCAAATCTGTTTAGTATGCAAAAACACATCTTTTGATTTTTTAATATACAAAATTAATTATTTATTTTTAAACAATCTATTTTTGGTGAGCTATAAATCAAATTAGTGTTTAAAATGAGGTTTTAAAAACTTTCCAAACAAAATTTAAGGTATTTTAATAAAAATAATAAAAGCGATTTTTGAATGACTCAAAGCATTTATTATTCTATATATTTTAAATAATTAACAATTTGATGAACAATGACATCTACATTTGATATATTTAACTAACATCTGCAAATATAGGTGTGTAAACAATGATAAAGGGTAAATGATATGATACTGTCTTTTGTATGTACAATTATTAAAAGTTATTTTCCATTTTTATAAAAATAATAATCAGCTTTTATATTATCATCATCAAAATTTAACAGACACTTTATAATGAACAAAATAAGATTAGAATACTGCTAAAGTTAAAAATAAACTTTACTTTGTACAAAGGCTAATATTGTAAAATTTAAAACTTAACATAAAGGTACCTAATTTACAAAAAAATATGGCAAACCTAACAAAATGTCAAATAAATAAATTAGGTAGGTAGGTACGTATTTTTTTAGTAGAAAACTTTTGGTTTGTGATATTTATTTAATACAATTGCTGCAAAATCCATGGTTTTCGTGCCCTTCACAATAAATTCTGGGACTGTGTGAGCTGTCCCATATGCCTGGGCCGCATCTTGTGCAAAGTCCTGTTAAAGTACACGGAATTTCTCTAAGCTGCCTAAATTGATGTAGTAATCCTCTGGCTTTTCTTATTATCACAAGACCGTCCATATACATTGCTGAAAACATTACTAATATGAAAATAAAAGTTTTGACAATTTTCTTATATTATTATATATTTTAGTCAAATGTTAAATTGATTACTTTTTTTCTAATCTCAAACTACCCAGTTGTTGGCACTATTACCTAATTATTGGCTCAAGGCATCTAAAACCGCTATAATATAGTTTGTGTTAATCAGACGATTTGAATTTCCCGCGTGACAAATTCCAACTTCTATGAAGCATCATAATTTGAGCTGTGTCTTCTGCGCTGCCCAAAACGTGTTTTAAATGAGACTTAAAAATCAGTGACAGTGTTTCCTAAGATTTTCGTTAAGGTGAGTTGTTTACATAAACATTAATAACTATAATATATAATATATAATATCATTATATAATATTATTAGGTAGGTATTTCTTTGTATTATACACTGTAAAATGTTATTACAGAAATTATCTATTCACAATAATGTTTGAGTTAAAACATAACCTAATAGATTTCCTCGACGAAAACAGGACATCCAAGTGCCAGTAAAATAGCTATTTACATACCATGGGAGGAAAATAGTGCTTTTCCTCCCGCGAATAGTTTGATGCCCGACGCGAAGCGAAGGGCATTAAATATTCAAGGGAGGAAACGCATTTTCCTCCTAAAGTATGTATATAGTTTTTTTCTATTACCTTTTAACGGTTTTAAGACATTTTAAGCGTTCCGGTTCCTTTTACTAAACCGGTATGGGGCTATAAAATTATAACAAAATAGGTGTTGCGTTGTCGACGTTATGTTGACAACGCTTTGTTGCTATGGTAATTTTGGTAATTCAAACATAACAGTTTTTATAAGCTGTCAGAATGTTTATCATAAATTTGAAATTCTTCCTAGGTTTTGGAAATGAGTTCTAGAGAAGAAGACCTTCCGCAATATCTTGCTAAAAAGGCAAGAATATTTGGAATTAATTTCTTTCCTTAAAAATCGAAAGAGCGATATGAAAATGAATAGTTTTTAAAAAGAATGGTTGGACAAGCGCGGAGTAAATATTTTTCCTACAAAATTAAATGGGACTAAACAAGGTACAAAAACTCTTGCTAATGTAAAATTGTTAAAAAAAAAGAGGAAGGAATTTTTTTTTCCTCCCGGGGAGGAAAAGAGGCATTTTCCTCCCTCGCTCGGGGGTGGAAAATTAAGTTTTCTAGTAAGGTAGTAGAAAAAATTATTTACACAATGTTGGCAGAAAAACCATATTTAAGGACAATTTGCCTGGAGACTAATGGTTGAATTTGTTGTTAAAACAACATCCCAATTTAAGCTTTAGGGAAGCAGAGGCACTAACTTCTGTAGACCCTCTTTTATCTATGGTAACTTCTAGTGGCCAGAGATATTAAGGGCTCGTTTTAAAACATTGAAGCCTACCTGAATAAAAGATGCGATTTTTAATTTAAAAAAATCAGTGGTTTACTCCTCGCACTATTACTATACTGAAAATTCAATAGGGCCAAACACATAAAAAGTAACTTGTGGTGTTTTAATATTAATTCTGGAAGACTTCCAGCATTGGTTTGAAGTGTATGAAATGCCAATAAGACAATATCGTAAGATTTGTCTACAAAAATATAAAAGGTGCAATACAAATTTTGTAAAAAAACAAACAAATAATGTTAAATATTATTTTCTAATGTAATTTACCAAATATTTGTATTTATGCTAACTAATTGTTTTTATAAAAAATATGTTATTTAATTTAAACAAGAATTAATTAGTAAATTACCTAACAAAATAATAATAATAATGGTAATATACCACTAACTGGCATAATAATAAGCCAATCACTGGCCTTAGTTGCAAAAAACAACCTCCTGGCGCCAATGATAATTTGCAATACTCCATAATGTTTCTAATTTGTGGTATACTTTACCTAGTGAACTAAAATGCAACAACATCTCATCAGCTCTCAAATCTTGAGCAATAACATCGTCGGCATATACGCATATGATCGCCAAACACAGGAACAAATGAAAATAATCAGTCAAATAGTTCGCCCAGCAAGCCTCCCACATCCTTAACGCAACCGCTTCGGTAAACTCCCTCTTGAAACAAAGCAGAATCCACCGGTGACAAAAAAGCAACTCCATGGCATCCTTGTGCTTTTCCAAATGCACGTAGAATCGGGGCACCATTAGGCGGATAAGTTCTCGGAGGTACCGCAGGGATCTGTCCATGTCTCTGTCGGTGGGTGTGGCCACAAATACGGCCCTTTGCATGAGTCCTACAAAGCACCAGAAGGCTGCTACTTCGTCTTTCAGTTCGCATAGGACTGGGGCCAATAGGTCGCTCATGCCTTGGGTGTAACTGAAACAAATGGATACAGCTTAGATAAATATTTCTTTTCATGGTGTGTCGTGGTGATCGTCTTTTTAAACATTTGTATAGCTACTGACCAGTGCCGGTTTAAGTTAGTTCGCCGCCCAGTTCTGGCAAAAACACAACGCCCAATGCTTTAAAATATTACTTTTTTAAAAACATTTTTAAATTTTTAAGTTTTACTTTCTCACGTCAAGTGGAAGATTAGGTTGGTTAGGCTGGTATCTAACAGTAAACTTAGTATCCTATAAAATATAAAATGAGCCTTTATAAACAAATTATAAAAACTAATCAAAAGCACTAACTAAAAAATAAAACATTCTTTGGTTTATATAAACAATACTAAGTACTAAGAAAAACTAATCAAAAGTTATAAATAAATAAAACATTATTCTTTGGTTTAAATAAATATTGAGAAATCCTAATACTAATAATTATAAAAGGTTGTTTTCAAGTCTTTATAGTAGCAAATTGTTTTATAACACTTTACATTTATTTCATCTAGCAGGTCTTGATAAATGGACAGAATTGCTAAGGAGTTAAATCTTTCTTGGGGAATTGTATTTCTTAGGTAGTTCTTTACCCTTTTTAGAGCAGAAAAAGATCGTTCACCACTTGCATTTGAAACCATTATAAAAAAAATTCGCAGACAATTATTAATATTCGGAAATGAAGATATTAATTTATTTTCGTATAAAACTTATACTAATTCCAATGGAGTTTCTATTTTTATTTCCGAAAGGGAAGTTATCAGTTTCTTGAGTTGGACACATTTTTGAGGAAAAAACTCATCCAAATCCTCCACGAAGATTTATGCTTTTAGATTAAACAAAAATTCAAATTTGTTTGTGCCAGATTTTTAGCTATCATATCGACAAATGATTTTGGATTATAGATTGTCAATTGTTAAAATAAAACATATTGTTCGCATTGTTTCTTTTTTGCTTAAACTTGCCTCTGAATTATTTTCTTCAAATTGTAATTTTCTTATTATTATCCGCTTCTGAGCATAATTTTGTTTCCTGTTAATTTCCTCGTAATGATCAAAATGATATCATTATTAATTATTATTATTATTATTAATTAATTATTATTTATTAATTATTTTCTTCAAATTGTAATTTTCTTATTATTATCCGCTTCTGAGCATAATTTTGTTTCCTGTTAATTTCCTCGTAATGATCAAAATGATATCACGTTAAAAATCAAAGTTCTCAACTAAAAATGACAAAAGATGAGCATTTGTGCTTAAATCCATATTTTGTTTTTGGACTGCTTTATTGGTTTCATTAACCCTTTGCAAAACGTCTATCCAAAAAGTTCAAATTATTCCGTTTCCAATAAATCAAGTTTTTCTGATGGAGAAGCTGCTTTAACTCTAACAAAATTTTTCTCATTTGTATCCGTTGTATCCGCCGACGCAGTGTCGCAATAATTTTTTTCTAAATTCTAACGATTAAGTATTTTTTTTTAATTATGGGCGGTACGCGGTACCGCCCCAAAAATATTTACCGCCCGGTGCTATAGTCCCCAAAAAACCCCCGTTAAACCGGCACTGCTACTGACAAAAGGTTATTAAATATTTTCGAAAAAATTTAAACATTTAAAAAAATCGTAGTTTTTTGGGAATACAGAGAATTTTATAACTTCATCAAAAATAAAATAAGGTTATGATTGTGATAGATTTATGTTATCTTTTTGGGTAATAGATGAGTTATTATTACAATTATTTTTTAGCAAAGATACATTATGTCAAAAAATTACCGAAAATTTGTTATTTAAAAACGGTTAAACATTTTGTTAAACCTCTTAATTTACTAAATTGATCTTAAATCTTTAAGCTATTTTATTTTTGTAGCTTCTACAAAGGCAAAACGCCTTCCACAAAGTGGTAATTTGGGTTTTAAAAAATGGAAAAAATTTCAGGGAATTTTAATGCGTTTTATAAATATAAGATCAGATTTGGACGGTTCTAACATGACTTCAGCAATCTGATTGCGATGGCCTGTTTGAATAAAATTCAGATGTTGTGCCCTATGCCCAAACCATCAACCAAATTTGCGCCAACTGATTAGTTTTTTTTTGTTTAAGTGCTAACTATAAAGATGATAGGAACGATTTTTAAACACAATTTATCTCACTTTATCGATGTTTTTTTCAGTTGAAGATATTGATGGACGATCAGAGCGTAGCAATTTAACCGCTTTTCAACTTTTTTTACCACGATCATGTTTAGCATTAGCATTAGCACATTTGGCAATACATAATTTAATACCAATTCTTTGTTTAATAACTATTTTTATAGTATAAATCGCAGATCACACCTGTGCACAGCTGTGCTAAATATATTTTTTTTTATAATATTTTATATTTAAATTTCTTTAAAGCAGTGTTTTTAAATTACCAATCCCTGGTTCTTTTTTGACAAAATTTATAATGTAGGTACTTACTAATTACTAGATAATATTAATTAATAATAACACTGTGCAACATTTCCGGAAAAAAAATAAGATGATGGGGTTCTGAAAGTATTTACAGAATGTTTAGATTGATTCTGGTTTTTTTTAATATCAATTTAAAGTTTTAGTAATTCTGGATCCCGAAATATTGTAAAATAATAAATAATTAGTACATAAAAGATAATTATTGGTTTTGTATATTGTTTTATAAAGTAATAACAATCAAATAAAGAATAAAAATAATTAAATAAAAAATAATGAGAACAATAAAATTTTCTGGATTTAATATGTTGTAGTGCAATTTCTTAGTTTTTTCGCTTCTACCAAAATAATAATTATGGTAATTATTATTATTATTATATTAATTATAAAAACCATATTCTTTTTAACAAATAGAATGAATCAGCATAAAAGATATAACAAATTTTATTTATAATTTTATGCCAAAATTTCCATTGCCATGGACCAACAAAAATCTGCCAACATCAAATCAAACCTCTTTCCTCTATAACGATTTTCCATTTCCATTATTGTTTGATGTTCTTCTGATTCGGTGGACAGCTGATTTTCGAACGTCAAGATGTGCATGGAGCAAATGTACTTTTAGTGACATGTTTACCCCCATTTTTAATTTTTATTTTATTTTTTATTATTTCTTTTTAATTTATTGTTATGACAACAAATTCCTACCAGTTAATTGGTTTAAATTAATAAATAACGGTTTTTTGGGTTCCAAAATTAATAAAACTTAAAATTGATATTAAAAAAAAACCTGAATCAATCTAAACATTCTGTAAACGCAAAAAGGCATTCTTTGAATAGGAGAAACGAAAACCACTTTCAGAACCCCATCATTTTTTTTGCTGTTGCACTGTGTAATTAGTAATAATTTTAATACACTTTTTAAACTTAATTTACTTCTTGTCTATTAATTCGGGCCTCCAATAAAACTAATTGGTGACCCCTGTCCTAGGCCATAAAAATTAATTATTTACCACTTTAAACCAATCAAACAATTTTACTTCTGTCAGAAATATCCAACCTCACTTTCTATTTTTAATAATTGTATTCGTTTAAGAAGTGGGCTCACTTCTGGGCCTAGAGACATAAATAACTATTCTTAAATATGATAATAATGATTTGAAAGTAAAATTCAAATTAGGCATTATTCTCAATATTTAAAAGTCGCTCGATAGCAATTAATTTAATTATTAATTATAGTTATGATCCACCTTTAAAAATTCAAATTTTTATCTAAAACTTAGAGAAAAGAATTCATTTTCTGTGCATACAAATATTACGTAGCGAGAAAAAAATGACTTACTTTGTAATTTTCAAAATTCGTAAGCGACCTCTAAACAATTTGTAATCGAGCTTTTTTGGATAGAGATCTTAAAACATAATAAACTAACATATTTTCACAGGAGACTAATAAATATTCGTTTATTTGGGCGTATAGGACGTAGTATTATTACTATTATTTGTTTACGTAGGTATATGATATCGGCTGAAGAATTTTTAATATAAATAATATATTATCTTATTTAACACTAACAATAAAAATAGAAAAATATTTTTTATATGAGGAGATTTTAAAGGCCAACTAATAGCATCATTAAGAACAATTTGATTTAAATCAAAGGTGAGAAAATATGTTGTTCAAATGTTTCCGACATTTAGTGCATTTCTTCCGACTCTACTTGTACGAGTATATTTAAAAAATATTAAATTTACCTATGAATTTTATTTATGATCAGAAAATTTTAAATTAAAAAAAATGCATAAACCAAATTATTCTTACCCTAATCCAGAATTGTATATAGCATAGTTTAACAAAATATTCTTCATAATAACCAAATTAGGATTATCATCTCCAGAAAAGAAAGGATTCCCTCTATCAGTCCTCACTACATCCTTTTCTACAACACTTTGTACTTTCCTTCTGAATTGATTCTGTTGATTTTCATTTAAATCCAGACGCCTTCTAGTTATTTCTTCGTATTCCTAAACATAAAAATTAACATTATTAAAATTCCAAAATTTTAATATCCTTAGAATTCTAGCAGAATCCTAGCATTCTGGAGCATCCAGTGTGAGCGGTTGTGAATAATAATCAAGTGGAGCGAAATCGATTTTAAGAAGACAATGGACATTCTTGGTTTAATTATATATTTGATATAATATTAAAATGTGGTTAAATATCGAGAGAAAAGTCAAATAAAATGATGTTTTTCTTGTAGAATAAAATGATACCAAAAGGAATACAGGTGAAAGTGCAATGTTGCCGAGTTTTTTTAAACTTTAATGCTTATAATAACTTAAAAACTACTTGTCATAAAAAAATTGTGGTATAATTTTATAATAAATTTAATAAATTTAAATTTATTTGATTTTTGATAAAGTGTTGTTTTGAAACAAAAGTTAATGTAATAATTTTTTTTATTATTGAGTGAAATGTTTCAAATTAAACAGGATATGCATTCATATAATTTATCTAATTATACTTACTTGTCTTCTTAGTTCCACGATTTGACTTCTTTCCTCAAAAGTACTTTGGTATGGATAAACATGTAGCAAAAATGGCCAAACATCTTTTCTTATAGTTCTATCCATTCCAGAAAAGAAAAGGTATTTTCTCAGAGTTAAATCATCTTCCAGTTGTCCGCATTCGTTAAATAAGCTCCTAAATATTTCTTCGCTTAACTTTGGTACTTGTCCTTCTTCAGGGTGCAATTCCAAATCGGAAACTTCTGGTCTACAAACCATAAAATGGCGATACGGCAAGTTATCTTCACAGCCTACAAAAATTAGTATTTTTCATTTATATAACGAATATTTTCAGCATTAATAAAAGACGAGAAGATTTAAAAATAATGGCAAAAAAGTTTATAAGCTGTACGTACTATAATGTAAATAAAGTTTTCACCTACATGTAGGTGGAAACTAGAAAGCACTTTTAAATCTTCTTTAAAGTTAAATAAGAGAACACTTTTTAAGGATAATACAGGAAAACCAAGTTTAATCAAATATTTGTTTAAATTTGATAAATTTTAAAACTTAATGTTGGTTAAGTCATTACCAATAACCAATAAGAGACAAGATTTTGATATTAAATTTATAAACCTTAAATGCCATTTAACAAGATTTTTGCAAATATTTAAAGAATATTTATTTTCTACCTATCTTAAGTAACTTAACCTTAAGGGGGAGAGGGGGGTTACTTCATATAAAATGTGCCCTCCAAATTCTTTGAAAAAATCTACCAATAAGACAAGTCGTGTACCGTCTATGTTATTCTAAATTACGATGAAATGCTAAAATCGTTTGTATCTTGTGCTAAAATGATCAGCTTGAGCTTTATTAAATAATTTTATTGCTAATAAGACAAGAAATCGCATATTACCCTTGTTATTCTTATGGTAATATGCAAGAATGGCCTTTATTATTTTTACCCATTTGTAACGGGGGTTTTTGTGTCGCGTGCTTGTGGTTCCTATACTTTTACTGCCTATTCTTTGGTTGGCTTCGGGAGCTTTTGGGTGTATGGAACCCGTTACAAATTACTAATCTAATCTGACCTTTTAATCCGGTGAAGATCGTCGTGGCTTCGGCTGGAGGATGTCGGTGAGACGAGTCGAAGGCGAAGGAATCCTATATGTATATTGACACACTTAACTCACTCGCGAACCGCGCGGAAAACTTCTACACGATTACCGTTCACTATATACTTACTTTCGACTTAACTTGATTCAGGGTATTTCTTATACAACAGACAGAGCAATAAAGCGATATTTCAAACCATATAAATATATTAACAAATAAAGAGTTAACAATAAAAATGAAAAGATATAAACAAGTAAAATTAAGTTAAATAAAATTAAAAAAGGGATAATTAAAGTTACTCCCGAGATTTAATTTACAAGAACTAGTTTACAGAACAAATTAGAACTCTAGATTAAGAAATTTAACTAAAAGTAAACTAAAAGAAAATGTAACAAATAATTAACTAAGCAAATGCGCGGGGCGAGTTACTCTAAAGAGTAAGTAACTATAATTAAACAAACTATTCGGAGTGACTCTAAGATAAACAAGTTGGTTTGAAATATAATAATTACTATAGGTCCTTACACTGAATCAAATGAAGTTGGCGAGGATCTACGACCGATTTGGGAAGCGCGATAAAATTTAGATAAGAACTGACTATTCAAAGGTCGTGTTGGTTTTTTATAGACTAATTTACGAAAAAATTGGAAGGGATTAATTCTTAAAGACCATTGGTCAAAATCGTGGCAACTCCCCCCCCCGCAAGGGTCATAGAAAATTGACTGGTTCAAAAGGTCATAAAATCTCATACCAACCGGAAAGGGCGAAAGGTTATTGGTTTTAATCTAAGCAGTTCAATAATTCTTAAGGGAGAAGGCGTTAACCTTTGACTTAAGTCGGAAACTTGGCTACTTGAAAGGTCGGGAACAAACAAGGTGGGAATTTTACTAGGCATTGGGCGGAGTTTCCGCCATTGTCGCCAACTTCAAGATAAACTATAATTTACTAGATTTGATAATAATCTTACGATGATTTAAAAGTAACCAAGGTTGCCTAATGATTGAATCGACTGTTTTTATATCTGGTTATTAAATCATATTAACTGAGTTTGATTTTATTGGGCATTCCCTTGGTTCAAACCATGCTTAGGATTTTTATCCATCGACACTTAATTTATATTGGCTGATCGAGACTTATCTTTTAATAAGCAGCCACGCTTTTATATTTACAATACAATCTACCTAATCTTACGTCTTATTTCTAGTCTATAATCTCCTATTTCTAATCTATAATCTCCATTTTTCTAAGTTTAGTTTTCAACTGAATCAATTCGTTACTTTCTTTAATTATATTAATTTTATTATATTTTTAACGCGTTTCATCTAGTTCTTAAAATGCTTCGTTTAAAAAAAGTGTTGCTGCCATATGTTTGGCGGCTTTGGCAAAATACAGATAGTCTGCAATATGGATTTATGGTTTTATGGCCTCGAGGGGAATTTTCTTTTAACACAACCCTATAAACTTGTTTTTGACTTTACATTTAAAATCCTTTTCAAAATTTCTTATTTTGCACATGTTAAAGCTTTCTAAACTTTTCTAAGAAACTCTTAATTTCTAGTTTTTCCACGAATTATTTTAACGGTTTTTTCGAACTTTCTCCCTGTTACATCACTCCCCCCTTTTTAAACGAATCAATTTAAAATACAACCGAGAACAACATAACAAATTGATTCGTTAAAAAACTAAGTTTCCTACGCTAAAACACTTAATTGTCCTGACTAAAACTAATATCATTTTCTTCACGGGAACTTATGTTTTTTCTTCTCTTCTTTCTTCTTGTTTCAGATGATTTTTCGTTTTACTTTAATTTCCTTCGGTTTCATATTTCTTCCTTACTGCTGGTTTTGTACTCGGTGGTGACGATGTGGTGACGATGTTGATGATACTTTGGTTATACTAGTTTTCCTGCTGCTAACTCTGATCTTCCTGCCTCTTTGTGGTTTTCTGCTCGTATTACACTGATGATAGTTTTCATAGTTCTTCTTGGTCCCTTGTTGCTGCAACTTCATGAAGTATGTGTGTGGTGGTTAACACATATCTCTTGTCCAATGGATGCGCGTACTTGCCGAGACTGTTGGCAAACGCGCTAACATGAAAGTGCATCTTTGATTGAGGTGGTGACTGCTTCGTTTTATTAAGCAGTCATATGGAATGCTGAATTCTCTGGTGGTACGAGTTGGTTGCATCTCTTGTAGCTATGGACACTTCTGGGCTGGCTCGGATTTTGTGGGGTCCTGGCAATGTCATCTTGATTTTTCTATTGATGGCTTTCATGGATAATAACATCAGAGTTGAAAAATACGTCTAAAACATTCCAAAAAAAACGAAATAAATATTTTGATTAATTTAGAATAACGATAATCATATTCTTCTCTTATTATCGATCCACGGTAGATTTTCTGCTATCCCTCTGCTTCTCAAAACCATTGGATGTTTATCGGTTGACTTTGCTTTGGCTTTTGGAGTCGTCATGGAGAAGTCTAGAGTGGCAGTTGGAATGGTCAATGGTACCAACTTTGATGAACTTCCTTGATGACTAGGACCTGCAGGATAATATTCGCTGGAAAGTAAATTTGAATTAGTAGTTGTTTCGGAAGAGACTCCGTTGTCTCTTCCTGGGAAATTTCCTGCACTGGGCCTCTGCACTTCCGGCTTATTACTTATTGGTTGCTCGCGTGTTTCCTTGGGTTGTTCTTCTGTGTATAAACTTATCATTGGGTAATTTAACTCACTTGGTCTTCTCGCCTTCATAGGTGTATTACCTAGTTGATTAATTTGATCTTCGGTGGCAAGACATAATTTCAACCTGTTAACATGTACTTTGTCAAATTTATTTCCATGTATTTCTTGGACTTCCGCAGTAACATTATTTAATTTAACTATTCTATATGGTCCTTTCCATCTCTTTGTTAATTTTCTACTTACTCCACTTTTATCTGCTGGGTCAAATACGTATACTCTATCTCCCACTTCGAAGGTGTGCAACTTAGCTTTTCTATTGAATACGTCATGGACTTTTTCCGTATTACTCTCTATCATTGCAATGGCATTCTTATGCGCTATCTTCATTCTATTTAAAAACTCTGAGACATAATTTTCATCACTATCATACTTAACTTGCAGCGGTTTAAACATTTCGTCGTATGGATAATCCATATCCCGACCAAACATTAAAAAGAAAGGACTTTCCCCTGTAGCGTTATGAGTCGACGAACAATACGACGCTACAGCATAAGGTAGCCAAGTATCCCAATCTCTGTGATTTGGCTGAATATAGTGCGACAGTAAATCTTTTAGCGTTCTATGAAATCTTTCTAACGCTCCATTGCATTGTGGTCTATATGCAGTTGTTTTTAGATGTTTAATTTTTAAAATTGTACACATTTTTTCAAATAATTTTGAGGTGAAATTAGTACCTAAATCGGTAAGCAGTTGTTTTGGCGTTCCATGCCTCAAAATTATACCTGTTATGAATGTTCTAGCTACCGTATCTGCTGTTTGATCTTTCATTGGAAAAGCTTCTACATACTTAGTTAATGCATCTTGAATAGTAAGTATGTATCTATTATGTTGATCCGTTACAGGTAATGGCCCCACTACATCCATAGCTATTCTATAGAAAGGTCTAGGCGGTATATTAAACTTTTGAAGAAGTGTTGGTTTAATATGCGGTGAAGTTTTCCTTTTGGCGCATGGTATACATGCTTTGACGTAATTTTTTATGTTATCTGCCATTTTTGGCCAATAAAAATGTTTGTTAACCCTTTCTATTGTTTTATCTGTTCCCATGTGACCTGATAGTGGTAGATCATGATATGCTTTCATAATGGAGGGAATCATTGTTACTGGAGCCACTAACATATCTTCGTATCGTTTATCGTTAGATATCTTGTATAATAACCCGTCGATATCTAGGTAATAATTATTACCTTTACCTGTAATTAATGCCTTAAAAATTGATTTAAGGCTCGGATCTGTTTTTTGCAGTTTCTTAACTTCTTCGCGACTCCACATTGGGTCCCATATCTCTTTAGTATTTAGTAGCCTAACCGACCTTATTCTGGACAACGCGTCTACATTCGAATGATTTTTCCCTGGGCGATAAACAACTTTAAAACTATACTCAGACAATGAGAGCGACCAACGCATTAGTCTATTGCTTGGGTCCTTAACAGACATTAACCATTTAAGTGGT